GCAACAGCTTTTTGAAAGGTTTAAAGTTTCTTTAAAATACATTCAAAATGTTTGCAAATAAACTACAAAAAATAATTTGATAAAGTGCAAATTATCTGCAACTGTATTTGATAATGTTTTGAACTTTAAAAATACTGCATGACAGAACCAGAAGCTGTACTTCATATTAGCGACAAACTTTGGCCTTCTTTGACGGGTTGCCTTCTATTTTTCATTTAAAATAAGTTTCCATTCTCGGCAGGTTCCTAATGTTCTTCTTCTACATATTAAAAAATGTTGTTAAACATCTGAGTGGCGCACTACCGCTACTAGTGGTGAGAAAGTGTATTGCACCTTGTTCAAAATCAATGCTGTCCCACGGCCCTCGGTGGCCCAAAGTTAAAAAATGTTGTTCGTTTGAGGCCCTCAAGGTGGCGCTCGGCCCATAGGTTAAGAATCTCTGTTTTAAAACACTGTATTTCTTCATTTATTTTCAGAATATTTAGAAGTCCTCCTGCTCAGTTGTCTCTGCACTCGCAGCCATGTTGACACAGGTGCGATGACATAACTGACAACAGGACGGTAGAGGGTAAATTTCTACCATAGGCCAACTTCATACCGTTTCTACCGTCTTTCACATATACTGCGCAGCCCTGATACATATGAGATGATTAATGGTGTACCACATTCATTAAAGTCACATTCTCGTAGATTAGCGCCCCCACCTGCAGGGCCTTAAAGACGACGCCAGCAGAGCGCGGGGAGCGGGTGGTGTTGTTATCCAGCTGGTGCTCCAGGCTGTGCAGCAAACCGCTGAAGTCGGTGGGAGGGTTGTAGGTCCGAGTCCCACGGTACTGAATGGAGCTGAAAGCTTCCGGAAACAGGCCCAGCTTCCTGAAACGCTCCTGCAGCAGACGCTCGGACGACTCAGATGGTTTATCTAGAATTTGGATGACATACACAGACAAAAAGACTTTGTGATTCTGTTCTAAGACCGTTAATTAAATCTGAACGAGGTTTGAGGCACAGACCTGATCCCAGGAGCTTGGTGTGGACCGTCTCGTGGAAAATGATAACGGTGGGGCCCARGGTGGACAACGGCACGTCCAGGCCACAGCGAGTGGTCGTCGCTTTTAGTTCCCGCGTGAAATGCTTCAAGTAGGCATCRGAAGCATCGCCGAGGAACTTGAAGAGATCGTCGTGGAGGCGGTCGGCRTGCGTCCGATAGATGATGACATCGGAAATAGCCAGGACCTTGAGGAGAAGCCGTGTCCGCTGACCCTGATTGGCTCCTGGAGAGTCAAGCAAACAAAAATGCGGAGAGTGAAGGCATGCACTGTGCGTTAGCTTGTCAAAACACTACCCAAATCAATCAAATGTTTAATACCAGCCCCGAGCAAGCCCTCAGTGTCGATGACGACCACCTGGTGCAGGGGGTCCAAAGCCCCCCAAACACCCACGGTGCAGGACTCCTGGGTGGGGGAGGTCTTGAACACTTCTCTTCCGAGRAAGAAGGTGTGGTTAAGAGTGTGGGATTTGCCTTCTCCGGTGTTGCCGAAGATGGAGACCACCTTGAGGAGCTCATCAGGACTGCAGCCCAGCCTGATGACAAAATCCTCCTCATCTTTCACCTGAAAATCCACAACATCCTCTCAGTCGACAACAACACATCATTAAAAGGATCCATGATTAGCTGTAACATTAGACTTTATTTGATAAACATACTGTATATTTTAACTGTAAAATAAAGAC